TGGCCAGCATGACTAAGCCGCTTCTGGTGAACCAGAGCAGCGCACGGAAACGCCGTTTACCTTCCCGCCGGAGCGGTACCTGTTTATCTACTTGCACTTTAACATGCTTTCAAACTGCTAGGTTGGCAGGTGCAGGGACCGAACAATGGGAGCTCACCCCGTCGCAGGGATTCGAACCGCCGACCTTCTGATCGGCAAGCTCTAGAGTATTGGACCAGGGTTCAAATCCCCACTCAGCCATGAATCTCAGCAGGTGATTTGGGGCCAGTCGCTTCCTCTCTGCCCAGTCCACCCCACGGGGTTGTTTTGGGGTTAAAATGAGGAGGGGGAGAACCACGGAAGCCACCTTGAGCTTCCTGGAGAAAAGGGTGGGGTAAAAATGCAGTTTTTAAAAATGAAATAAAGAACAGCCTAGCATCCTGTTCTCACAGTGGCCAACCAGATGCCCTGAAAGGAAACCTGGAAACAGGATATGAGTTCAGCTGATTCCCAGCATTCAGATGTATTTGCTGCTTTCAAGATCTGGAAAGAGAGTCTTTAGACTAATTAATTTAGACTAATCAGTCAGAACTTTGGCTGTACCATGTCAGTTCCCCGTTGCCTCTGCCTTCTTGCATTTGGTTTATTTACTCCTGAGGATAGGATCCTAATGGTTTCTTTTGTACAATTTTTATTGGGTGTAATAAAAAGATGAATTCTTCTACGGGGGAAGAAAGAAAGTCTCTCCCCAACATAAATGCCACATAGTATATTACCGCCGTGTCTCGCCTGGCATTTAATCCTGGCCGACCTTCTCTCGGGAGGAGCCACGGTGGCGATTATTTCCAGGGGTGGGAAGGAAGTGACATTTGGTAAATATGCGAGATCTCCTGAACCATAAAAAAGCAAGGAGTCGAAACAGCAGCAGCAAGCGGCAGCAGCAGCAACAAAACGCGATACTCTTGATCATGGCGTATGAGTTTGATCTTTACTGTCTTCTAACTCAACCATTTGTCTCTCACGATTGTTCTGCATCATCTTAAATGGCAGGAAGTGGGATTTAGGTGAAATGTCAGGAAGAATTTATCTCCACTGAAATTGCGAGGAGTAAAAGGGGATGGAAACCAGAATCATTGCTTCTGTGACATCTTCATGGTAGAATCATAGAATTAGAAGGGGTCCAAAAGAGTTCATAGCTACAGAATCCCGCACAAATGGTCCTTGCAATATCTGTTAGGTGTATTCAGGGCCGTATTTAGGTTTGATGAGGCCCATAGCTACTGAAGGTCATGGGGCCCTTTCTATGTCCAGCTGTCCTTTGTCAACAACAAATTGTCGCTGTTTTTTTTGTGTTGAATATATGCTATATGGTAAATGATGGACCTAATAGGTATCTCAAGAAATTTGCACATAACAAAGTATGTATTTTATCAAAGGAATTGTTGAACTGAAATTAAGAAGAAGTATATTAAGAATGATTTGGGGGGGTGAGTAAGGCCCTAAGCTATAGCTTGTTTAGCTTATACATAAATCTGGCACTGGGTATATTAATGGATGAATGGTATTTGCAACTGGGCATGGGAAACCCAACCATCTGGAGGAATTCCATGTTGAAGTTCATCTTTCGGGGTGGAGCAGCAAATTTCAAGGGAAGATCAATCTGTGACATGGACTTTCAGGACTTTCTGATCGCAAGTCGGTTCCTTTAGTTCAGGGGTCAGCAACCTTTTTCAGCCGTGGGCCGGTCCACTGTCCCTCAGACCTTGTAGTGGGCCGGACTATATTTTTTTTGGGGGGGGGAATGAATGAATTCCTATGCCCCACAAATAACCCAGAGATGCATTGTAAATAAAAGCAGACATTCTGCTCATGTAAAAACACCAGGCAGGCCCCACAAATAACCCAGAGATGCATTTTAAATAAAAGGGCACATTCTACTCATGTAAAAACACGCTGATTCCCGGCCTGTCCGTGAGCCGGATTGAGAAGGTGATTGGGCCGCATCCGGCCCCTGGGCCTTAGGTTGCCTACCCCTGCTTTAGTTGGACAAACAGCTTGTGTTAAACGAAGGCCAAGGATGCTTGAGTGACTGGACAGTTCCCTTGCAATTGCAAATGCATGGATGGGCTTTGCAGTCCGAAGCCTTCATAAAAGTCGTTCCCAAGAATGCTGACATGAGGCTGGCCTGGGCAATGTCATTTAGAAGGATGCTGCCCAGAGGTCTGCTGGGGTACAACCCTTTGCAGGGGGTAGACAGGACAGGTCTGGGGTTGTTGTAGCTACCCACCCCCATGGGCCAGGAATGCAGTGAGGGTGGGATTGCACCCTGCATGCGTCCATGGGAGGAGCAGGGAACAATTTCTGGTGACAACCCTATGGCAAAAGAAAGCCCAGAAGAAGCCTGTTTTTGAAGCAGTCTTGCTAATTTAAAAGTTGGGCATCTTGCTCATGCATTCTTAGCCTGTTGGTGGAAATGGTGCATGTGTTCGTTCGTTCATTTGTTTGTTTGTTTGTTTGTTCGTTCTCTTTCTCTCTCTCTCTCTGCCTTCAAATCCCTCCTCAAAATCTATTTGATCCTGTGTTTAAGCCCTTCACCTGTTCATTATGCCAATCTGGGAATAATATACCAAGAAAAAAGCACACCAAGAACTCCGGTCAATGTAAGTTTCAATAGTGGGAGTGGTCCCTGCTCACAAATCAATAGTCAATAGTAACAAAAACTAATCCATTCAAAAGTATGTATTCTGACAAGGATTACAAACTCAAACAGAGATTACAAACTCAAATGGATTAGCTTTTGTTACTATTGACTATTGATTTGTGAGCAGGGACCACTCCCACTATTGAAACTTACATTGGCCTGAGTTCCTGGTGTGCTTTTTCCTTGGTGTAAATCTGGGAATAATAGCAAGTGGACACTGACTGCAGAGCCAGGATGTAGCCACAAACTCTACTCTTGAGCTCCATGCATTGAACTGAATTCTGTGCAGAGCCTACACCCACTGGCGGAGGAACTGGAGTGCGGAGGGAGCGGACCACTATTCTGGCAGGGTGCCATCGTGCCTCCCCCCGACACCCCCCCCACGTGCTGGCTGCCACGCCCCATAGGTGGCACGCCCCGCCCCCAGAACACGCGCCATGCCCCTGTGGGCGGCACGCCACGCCCTCGCAGGCAGCGTACCACGCCCCCGGGATGCGCACCACACACCCCAGGCGCGTGCCACCCCCCCGCGTGCTCTCCGCCCCCGGTAGCAGAGCATGCAGCTTCGCCACTGCCTACACCAACAGATTCTAAATGTTGTTGCCACGGTCTTGTTTCTCTGCAATGGAGCTCATGCTCAGTCTAGCAACAGGTGACATAATCATCACCGCTGGCCTATTTGCAAAGTGCATCTCTGAGCGGTAACTGTCTACCTTGAAGAACATAAGAAGAGCTTGCTGGATCAGGCCAATGGCCCTTCTAGTAATAATAATATTAATAATATTTTTTTATTATTTCTACCCCACCCATCTGGCTGGGTTTCCCCAGCCACTCAAGTCCAGCACCCTGTTCTCACAGTGGCCAAACATGTTAGGATTTTTATTCACCGTGTTGCTCAGCAACTAGTACTATGGTTGCTTATATCATGTGAGTGCCTGAGAGTGTGAGACAGGAAGTCTCAGTACTGCTGGAGAAGTTACTTTCACTTCTGTGTGAGATGCTGTTCTGAGATCAGACTGCTGCAGTTTGGATCCTATTCAACTCAGTACATAACAATTACCATATATCTAAGACCATAAAATTCCTGTCACAGTAGCCTCTCCTCCTCCATGAATTTATCCAATCCTCTTTCAAAGCCATTGAAGTTGGTGACCATCACTGTCTCCTGCAGAAGTGAGTTCCGTAGTTAACTCTGCACTATGCGAAGAAGGACTTTCTTTATCTGCGCTTAATCTTCCAACATTCAGCTTCATTGGATATCCCCAAATTTAAATATTAGGAGAGAGGGAGGGGAAACTGTCTGCTTTCTCCATGCCATGAAATAAAGGAGCTCATTTTTTAAAAAAATCAGGGGATGGCTCTCTCTCTCTCTCTCAGTGTGTTTGATTTCGTTCTGTTATTTTAATGGGCCAATAGAATTCCCACCTCCATAGACATCACTTCTACAGGACACAGGACACTCATCTGGGCTGAACCGTCGCTTGCAATTAAGTTTAAATTCTGCAGAGTGTTAGTTAATGTTTGACTGTCAATTCCCACCCAAGGATTGGAAATTGAGCTACCTAGAAAAGGAGAGGCATAGGGAGGCCTCTTATTTTATTTTACGATGATTGAGTCTGAAGCCTGAGTGTCCCCAGTAAGCCAGCAGGCGGCGCCTCCCGTGGAGAAGAAGGGGCTGTTACACGAGATGAGTTGTGCAAAAGAGGGAGGGCGGGGAGGGGGTCCCATTGTGCCAACTGCTTAGTTTTATTGTCCTCATTAAAGTGCTTCGCTTGCGTAACGAGCGAGATAATGCACTTCAAGCAGTACATACAATAATGAAGGAACAATAATGAAAAGCTAATTTTTGAAAATTAAACCCAAAATAACCAGAGTTTTTTTAAAAAAAAAAATTAAAAATGCAAAGTTTCCTTTGGGGGGGTTCTTGGAGATTAATAAAACGATGATGGATGGAGCCTTGTCTGCTAATTTCCCACCATTGCCGTGGGATGCAGAGATGGAGTTTTCCCCACCTGCAGATTCAGCGGAGGGGAAAATTCTGTACATGCCAGTGAAATGAAAAATGGGGGACAGGAATCTCCTTTCAATAGGACTTCGATGTAGCCATGTGAACCTTTATGAAGTTCTGGGTCAGAAGAGTGTTGTTAAGCATACCTTCAACTGTTGGGGAACCGTTGATGGTTCCATTAGCTTAAGCTAAGCTGGTAATTATCTGGTTCCTAGTGCTGGTGGACATGAGATCGAATCCTGATGTCAATTCATGTCCACTCTGTCCATTTTCCATCTCATAGTACCAAGTGATTACTGTGGTGACATTTCAGCTGGCATAGCTCAGTTGGCAGAACACTATATTTTTAATCTCAGGGTTGTGGGTTCGAGACCCGCCTCAGACAAAATATTCCTGCATTGCAGGGGGCCAGACTAGATGGGCCTTCGTGGTCCCTAACAACTCTACCATTCTATGAGCTATTACAAGGGGAACCTGTAACAAGATGTTGCAATGCCTTGTTCAGGATGACAAGGAACCTTTTCTGGGATCATGTCTCCAATGGGTTTTCTTTCTGCCAGTTTTCCATGCTGGTTTTCTTCCTCCACTTAGGGGTCCTCCCCACAGATATTTTGGCACTTTTAAAGTTCTGCTGATACCCCCCCCCTTTTGTGAGGGTAATGCTCTTTTGGCTAGAGCTAGCACATGGAGAAATAGTTCACTACAGTGATAAGTCGGGTTAAGTACTTAATTCGTTCCAGAGGTCCATTCTTAACCTGAAACTGTTCTTAACCTGAAGCACCACTTTAGCTAATGGGGCCTCCTGCTGCCACCGCACCGCCGGAGCACAATTTCTGTTCTCATCCTGAAGCAAAGTTCTTAACCCGAGGTACTGTTTCTGGGTTAGCGGAGTCTGTAACCTGAAGTGTCTGTAACCTGAAGCATCTGTAACCCGAGGTACCACTGTATTACTATACAGAATTAATGTAGTAGTCACAGAATCATAAGATGGAAAGTTGGAAGGGACCCTAATGGTTACCTGGTCCGATGCCCTACAGTTCAGTGGGGTTATAGGTAAAAGGTAAAGGTAAAGGATCCCTGGACAGTTAAGTCCAGTCAAAGGCGACTATGGGGTTGCAGCGTTCATCTCGCTTTCAGGCTGAGGGAGCTGGCGTTTGTTCACAGACAGCTTTCCGGGTCACGTGGCCAGCAGACTAAACCGCTTCTGGTGCAACGGGACACCATGACAGAAACCAGAGCGCATGGAAATGCCGTTTACCTTCCCGCCACAGTGGTACCTATTTATCTTCTTGCACTGGTGTGCTTTTGAACTGCTAGGTTGGCAGGAGCAGGGACAGAGCAATGGGAGCTCACCCCATTGTGGGGATTCGAACTGCCAACCTTCTGATTGGCAAGCCCAAGAGGCTTGGTGGTTTAGACCACAGCGCCACTCGCGTCCTCTTCAGTGGGGTTATAGCAGGTGTCTGACAAATGAATGAATGAATGACTGTACATGAATTCATTGGTTAAAAAAGAGAACGGTCCCTGCCTCCAATCTCAAATGAAACAGTGGGAGCCATAGCTGTCAACTTTCAGATTTGAAAATAAGGGATCAGCAGCCTTGAAAATAAGGGATCAGCAGCCTCACCTGTCCCAGAGACAGTCTACGGGATATCTAACAATCTGGGATAGCAGCGGGAAGCAGCGGGAAACGGCGCTGGAATAAGGGAATTTCCTGCATAAAAAGGGAAGGTTGACAGCTATGGTGGGAGCATTGCCCAAAGGATAAATGTTTGGCATTCAGTTAGGGTTGTGGCATACTAAGGGGTCACGCATACAAGGGGGATGTGCAAATTGCTTCCTTTGGCATCCTCAATTGCTATTTCTGCATCTCATCTAGCATTATTGCTTCCGTTCTTTTTTTCTGTGCATCGACAAGCAGTAAGTTCACGGTTTGGTTTTGTCATGTATCCTATTTTCAAAATGATAACAGAGATCTCCTTCCGGTTGTCTTTGCAGCCCCACCCACAGTGAGGATCATCCACTCGGGCCTGGCCTGCAACATTGAGGAGGAGCGATACTCAGAGAGAGTGTACACGATCCGGGAAGGGGAGACGCTGGAGCTGACCTGCTTGGTCACCGGGCACCCTCGGCCGCAGGTGAGCTCTTCTTGTGAGGCGCGAGGCCCACAGCTGGATTTGCATCTCCAAAATTGGGGGAGGGCGGTTTTTCTTGCCTTTAGTTGCGACATTTTTGTATGACGTCATAGGCTGCTTAGAGACACCTTTGAATCAGGATATGGAATGCACCAAACCTATGTAATTAAATGACCTTACAGGGCTGTTGTGAGCCCTGAGAATATATGACTGGCATGATTCTGCAACTCTTCTAGGTTGTTAAGGCCCTTCTGCAGCCCCCACAGTGGACAGAGAGACTACAATATATATTTATATGGGGGCATTGCTTCCATGGCAACTAATGTCCCACTTAATGGATATTGACAGGGGGGCCGGCAGGGGGGGACGGGACTCCCTGGTCCTGAATCAGGTAACTGTGCCCCTAAAGGACCAGGTCTGCAGTCATTTTGTTTTTTGTTTTGTTTTTCAAGTTTTTTTATTGATTTTCCAAAATTTTTAAACTAACAAACAAACATCTTAACTGTACTTAATCCAATCTTAGTGACATTGTTAAGTGACTTCCTCAAATTCCCCTGACTGAATTTCAATATATATCATTGTAACAGTTTTCCAAAACAAATTTCTCATAAAATTTACTTAATCAGTTAACATCTTTCTTTCTTTTCATCTTTACTTTAAGCATATTATTCTATAACTTCACATATTGAAATCCTAAGCCTATTATTTGCAAGTATTTCTATTTATGTTATCTTAGCATATTTAACTAAATAATCATTAAATTTATTCCATTCTTCGTGGTGTTCCTCCTCCTTCTGGTCACGGACTCTTCCGGTCAGGTCAGCTCGCTCCGAAAAGTCCATCATCTTCATCTGCCATTCCTCTACTGTTGGTACTTCTTGTGTTTTCCATTTCTTGGCTAATAAAATTCTAGCTTTAGTTGTGGCATACAAAAAAAATCTAACATCTTTTTTGGGCAATTCCAAACCTGTTATTCCAAGAAGAAAGGCCTCTGGTTTCTTAATAAATGTATATTTCAACATTTTTTTCAATTCATTGTAAATCTTCTCCCAGAAGTCTTTCACCTTGGGGCAGGTCCACCACATATAATAAAAGGTACCCTCTTTTTCTTTACATTTCCAGCATAGATTATCACTATTATGATATATCTTTGCTAGTTTTACAGGGGTTAAGTACCAGCTATACATCATTTTCATAATGTTGTCCTTTAACACCGTACGTGCAGTGAACTTGCAGGTGTGCAGTCATTTTGGACTCACGGCTGTCCATGGAAGTGCAGGTTATTTGTGGGTTCAGGGCAGCTGTCTACAGGTAGGCTGAGACCCTACCTGTCTGCGCACTGTTTCATCAGAGTGGTACATGCTCTGGTTATAATTTCTCACCACTTGGGGATGACACGGAACTGTATCAGACTCCTGGAGGTAAAGGTAAAGGGACCCCATTAGGTCCAGTCGTGACCGACTCTGGGGTTGCGGCGCTCATCTCGCTTTATTGGCCGAGGGACCCGGCGTACAGCTTCCGGGTCATGTGGCCAGCATGACTAAGCCGCTTCTGGTGAACCAGAGCAGCGCACGGAAATGCCATTTACCTTCCCGCCGGAACGGTACCTATTTATCTACTTGCACTGTGACGTGCTTTCCAACTGCTAGGTTGGCAGGAGCAGGGACCGAGCAACAGGAGCTCATCCCGTCGTGGGGATTCAAACCACTGACCTTCTGATCAGCAAGTCCTAGGCTCAGTGGTTTAACCCACAGCACCACCCGCGTCCCTGGAGGACTCCTAGTCATTGCTACCTGAGAGCTTCAGATGCTCTGAATGGCTCAGTGTGGCTGACAGCTTTTTATAGCGCCTGGAAAATGGCTTCCTTAAGCAGGCAAAGAGACTCTGATGCCCCAGATCAGCAAAACTCTGGCAAAACCAGCCTGTCGTGGTTCCAGCATGTTGCACCGATCAGTGTGTTTTCTCCCCTCAAATCTCTATTTTCTCATCTCAGGCCCTGGAAGGAAAATTGATTTCACTTCATTTTAGCAGTTTATGGATTTGTCTCTCCCTCCTGCTCACACGCTGATCATCTCCGCCTGTCTCCCATCCTCTCTCCTGCTCTCTCTCTCTCTCTCATTGCAACTCTCAGCAAAGAGAGGGGTGGGAGAAGCCGTCCCTTCTGACAATGAATTGCTTGAAGTCCCTGATGAACAAAGCAAACCACGATTGTGTCCTGCCAAGGGGGATGAGCTTGGAATCAGGAAGTCCATGGCTTAAGAACATAAGAAGACCCTGCAGGATCAGGCCAGGGGCCCATTGGATATTGCATTATGAGAAGAGGAGACTTTCTCTATCTGCTTTCTCCTTGCCATGCATTCCCTGCAACCTTTCTTGATCTGGGTGTTTCTCCATCCTCTTAATCATTTTGGTTGGCTTGAATCTTGCCTTGTGGCGTTTGCCTCCTAGGTGGGTCATAAGAAAAGGGTTAAAATGAGTGTGATGTGATTGGCCAGTGGAAACTGGTAGGAGTTAGGGTTAGAGTCCTGCTGTGTGGAAGTCAGTTGAGAGTTGGGAGCTGGAAAAGGAAGAGGGAGGAATAGTCTGTGAGTTGGTCGAGTTGTGTGGTGAGAGAGTGAGAGGAACTGTTAGGTGGAGTCAGATAGTTAGTTGGGATAATCAGATGGAAGTGGTTAGGAACGAATAGGACACTTAAGGAACTAAGATTAAAAAGCTGACAAGAAAAATTAACTGAAACCATAAGCTTGTTTATGCCTATAAGATAAACTTGATTATTTGTTAATGTTAACAACTGACTGGACTCTGTGTGTACCCGTGAGGAATGGGTTGGTGGCAGCGAAGAAAGCAATTACAGTGGTGGCACAGGGTCAATAGACCGTCAAACGTCCGGGGGCCCTGTGTGATCGCCACATGCCTCTCCCATGAACTCCCAGGGTGGCCTCAGACTTGCCTCCCTCTATAGAATCAGAGAATCGTAGAGTTGGAAGGGACCATGAGGGTCATCTAGTCCAACCCCCTGAAATGCAGGAATCTTTTGCCCAAAGTGGGTCTTGAATCGACAACCCTGAGATTAAGAGTCTCATACTCTACCAACTGCAACTATATTGTCCTACCTTACAGGGCTGTTGTGATCAGTGAGAAAATATGACTGGCCGCTGCAAGAGCAGGTTGCTGGACTAGGCAGGCACTTGGCCTGATCCTGCAACTCTCCTAGGTTGTTAAGGCCCTTCTGCAGCCCCCACAGTGGACAGAGAGACTACGATATACGTTTATATGGGGGCATTGCTTCCATGGCAACTAATGTCCCACTTAATGGATGAAATTATTCACATTCTTCCTGGCTTCCTGCACCAGAATGATGCAAAATAGAAAATTAAGTAATTTGCCAAAGTGTTTGATATTGCAGCACAGATAATGGCTAAAAAGCATCCAGGAGTGCTTTGTTTTGGAGAGGAGGGTTGTGTACAGACAATCGTAAGCATGTCTACTCTGAAGTATGTCTAAAACAGCCGTCGTGTTATACCACTTGCCTGGGAACCAGCCACGCAGAACTCGGTGGGAGTTATTTCTGAGAGCAGGACTGCAGTGTTCGACAACCAAACAGGATCCATGCAGAGGTCCTTTTCTTCAGATAAATTGGAAAACATAAAACAAGCATGTCCCCTGGTTGAGACCAGCCTAACCTCCCTGTGGAGGATCTTCAAGATGTTTTTTTTGAAGACTGTAAGGTCCTCCGTGGGACATACAAACAGAGGCAGTCCCGTAGGTATGTGGGTCCTAGGTCGTATAGAACTTTAAAGGTTAAAACCAGCAGCTTAAACCTGATCCTGTACTCCACCAGGAGCCAGTGCAGCTGGTATAGCACCGGGTGAATGTGATCCTGCAGCAAGGACCCCGTAAGGAGTCTCGCCGTGGCATTCTGCACCCGCTGGAGTTTGTGGGTCATTCTCAAGGGCAGCCCCACGTAGAGCGAGTTGCAATAATCAAGCCTGGAGGTGACCGTCACGTGGATCACAGTGGCTAGGTCAGTACCTTTTGTTTAGGCACCTGAGAGTGTGGTCTGTAACCCCAGGAGAGTCAGTGAATCCTCTGGGAACATGCAGAATGGAAGAAATATTTATGCACAGCTTGTCCCGCAAGGTGCAAGGTTCACTCCTTAAAATAAAATGGAAGGTACAAGCAGATTTTGAATGAAAGCTGTTGACGTGAGTTTGCACAGCAGTTGCTTCCTTGTTCCAGGCAGCTTGTGGTTACATGTGAAAGAACACACTTGCGCTCACTTGTTCTTTTCAGCTCAGCGGTCAGTTTGGTCTTTTGCACCACGTCACCCTGCTTCTGGGGTGTGTGGAGTGTTAGGGGGTATGTTGTGCTTCTTCTGGGGTAGTTTGGTTCCCACGCTGCACTCAGCTCTCACCTGTGCCTCCTAGTAGCTGTCAGCAGGTGACAGCGGCCACACCTGGGGAACGGCTTCAACGGGCTGGCTAAACCAGGAAAGGTAGCCGATGGGTCTCTAACCCTTGATACGTCAGGGCAGGCATCCCCAAACTCGGCCCTCCAGATGTTTTGGGACTACAACTCCCATCAGCCCTGACCACTGGTCCTGTTAGCGAGGGATGATGGGAGTTGTAGTCTTAAAACATCTGGAGGGACGAGTTTGGGGATGCCTATGTTAGGGACTTCCCCTGTGTGTGAAAACAGGGATGGAGTGGACAAGACCAAGAGGGGGTGCAGTGGTGAAGAAGACGGATTCTGCATGTGCTATAGAGGGAAGTGAGGGGCAGATGGGGCTTGTCCACCTGGGAAGGGAGCCCATGTAGGCAGGGCCGGATTTAGGTTTGATGTGGCCCTAAGCTACTGAAGGTAATGGGGCCCTTTCTATGTCCCGCTGTCCTTTGCCAACAACAAATGGTCACTGTTTTTGTGTTGAATATATGCACAGCCTAGGACCCTCGTACCTATGGGACCACCTCTCCCGGTATGCCCCATGGAGGACCTTAAACAGCAACACCTTGGAGGTCCTGGGCCCTAAATTAGTCAGATTAGCCTCAACCAGAGGCAGGGCCTTTTCAACACTGGCCCCAGCCTTTTGGAACGCTCTGTCTCATGAGACCAGGGCCCGGCAGGATCTGATTTATTTCTGCAGGGCCTGTAAGACAGAGTTTCAGTTTATTTATTGCATTAGCCGAGTGGCCATAGCATGATATACATTGAAATAACAACATAAAATGGGGGTGGGGAGGTAGAGGTAGACATCGTCCTGGGCGAATACTTAAAGAAAGTGAAAAAAAAAAAAAAAGCTGCTGGGGCTGGAGGAGGACCGTTAAAGGGTCCTTCAGCTCCTCAGATTAGTCCTAACTCGATTGTCCTTGTACAATAAGGCTACTTGGAACTTCGTTCGGTTGTGCGGCGTATCGACTGCATCTGTGGTGTTAAGGAAGAAGTTAGTGCCGCTTTCCTCTTCATCACACTAAGCAGGAAATTAGCTGTCATCTCAGTAATCCAACAATCAGAATCCTGCAAAAGAGGACACTATCCAAGGCTGGATTGGGAGATGGAACTTATTCACGAGGGAGTTAAAAACCGAGATCTTTCATCTGTCCAGTTGGGACAGAAGAGCATTACATGTTCCATAGTCTCCAGGGCCGTGTCATTACAGGAGCATGTTCTGTTTGCGATGGGAACTCTGGAATAACGACCCGACAGAACTGCTGTAGGAAAACAGTTGAGACGGGCACAGGTAAAAGCCCTTCGCTTAGTCTCCGAAGAAATTGTGAAGCAGTATAGAGGATCCCTTCAGGGGTGGAATAGCTAGGGCTAGGCCTGAACACGGTCCTCTTGCACAAGAAGCTGTGTTGGAGAAGTCAAGTTGCTGTAGTTTCTTTTTAATTAGGGGTAGGGCCACCGGGCTGATACACTCTAAGTTAAGAACAGTTTTACAGTTCAGATTGAGAAGAGGCGGAATTTGAGGTTAATTGTAGTTTTCCAAGGGGAATTATGAATATCTCTTAGGATCAGATTGGAAAAGCCACCTCTAATTCGAGCATCCGATGCTAATAGGTGGAGGGTGTAGGAAATGGCTCGGCTCCATGCTCGTCTAGCAATTGAAGGCTGGGCGAACTCGAGTCGTAGGGCTGCACCTGAGACACATCTCGGGACGCCGGAAAGAGATCTCAGAAACATATGAAGTGGACGATCCAGGTTACCTGATATTGCTGTAGTCCATACTTCACATCCATATAATAATTTAGGGACGACTTTGGCATTAAATATTTGAATTGCTGCTGGAAGGTGTTTGCCGCCCTTCTGGTGGTAAAATCGGACAATGGCGTTAGAGGTCGTGGTTGCAGCGAGAAAGGCAGATTGTAGATGGGTGGTCCAGGAGAGATTATAGGTGAATATTAATCCTAAATATTTAAAGGCTTTTACCTTTTCTATGTAGCCACCTGTGATCTTAAGCGGCTCCAACTTGAGTTTGCGGGAACGAGTGAAGTGGAGGACTTTCGATTTTTATAATTAATATTAAGAGCTTCCGCCTTACAATAGGCGATAAATGCATTAACTGCATTTGCTAGATCCGCAGCTGTTCTGGATAAGATGACGGCATCATCAGCATAGAAAAGGGAAGCAACGGGGTGGCCTGCTAAGTGAGGAGGATACTTAGATGCTAGCTTCAAAGTGGAAATTGCATCATGAAGATAGAGATTAAACAGTAAAGGGGCCAAGAGGCAACCTTGTCGGACGCCCTTGGCCGTTGGAAATGGAGTAGTGGGGAGCCGTTTGGACTAGTTCGGACGCGAGCTGTGGTGTTTGAATAAAGGGAGATAATTAGGGAGAGAAGGTGCGGATCAATTCCCAGATGGGCAAGTTTGGACCATAATCTCTGCCTAGGAATGGAATCAAGGCGGCCTCCAGGTCCATGAAAGCGGCAAATAGGTGGCCTTGCCTTGGAGCAGTGTATTTACTGGCAAGGTGAAAGAGAGTTAGACAATGGTCCATGGTTGACGCTGACTTTCGGAAACCAATCTGTTCTAGCGGTAGAATGTTCCTCTCCTGGACCCATGAGAGAAGTTCCTCCAGTAAAACAGCGGCAAATATTTTCCCGGGATGGATAATAAGCTAATGGGGCGATAGTTCCTAGGGATGTTTGGCTGGCCGCCTTTGAAGATCGGAACTATTATAGCTTCTCTCCAGGAGTCGGGGATGTCTAGGGCGGAGGAGATAGCGGTGAATACAGGAGTCAGGTGTTCGCTCCACCAAAGAGGATCAGTCAGGAAAAGGTCCAACGGGACCATGTCTGGGCCAGGGGCCTTATTCCTTTGCATTGACATTATGATGTTGAAAATGCGAGTTGAAGTAAAGTTTATTGAAGAAGTGGGACTAAGAGAGCAGGAACTGAGGTCCAATGGGGATTGAAGGAGATCTGTAAGATGGTTTGGAGAAGCGAAACTAGTTGAATAATAAGCAATCCATTCATCCGCGGAAATCTGGGTAGCTGGATTGAATGGTGCCGAAGGTCTAACTAGGCGCCAGAAGGAGCGGGAGTCATGCCTCTCTACAGCCGAACGAAGAGTGGACCAAGCCTCAAAGATGTGCTGCTGTTTCTTGCAATGAATCATGTTTCTATATGTCCTTTTAATATCTATGAGCTTTGCACGGGTTTGGGGGTCGTTGGAAGATTTGATGATTCTGACCATTTTCCTAATTCGCCTTCTTAGGGCTTTACATTCCTTGTCAAACCAGGGCGATTCAGAGAAGAGGCGTTGGTAAGTAGGCGAGGTGGTGGTTATGTAAGTTGTTGAGAAAGCATCAAGTAATTTCCGGTATTGGTCAGCGGGCAGGATTGGATCAGAGGGAACTGCAGACATATCAAATGATTTTGTATGTCCAGGGCAAGAGAGGAGCTGAGGCTTGTCCATTTCTTTGTTTTGTATACAGGGTGGCTTTGTACCATGGTTCTATAGTTTGAGGAGACTGGGAGTGGCTCTATTAGGTTTAACATTAGAGTCAATGGAAGGTGGTCACCACCAAAATATTCAGCCACTTCCATTTTTGTAGAAATTGAGAATAGCTCCGGCGTCAATAAAATGTAGTCGACAACACTGGTTCCCG